CGGCAAGCCGCCGCTGAAGCTGGCGTCCAATAGGGTTTGGGCTTTAGGGCTTAGGGTTTTAGAGTTTAAGGTTTGGGGTTTTAGGGTTTTAGGGTTTAGGGTTTAGGGTTTTTGGGTTTTTGGGTTTTAGGGTTTAGGGTTGATTTAGGGTTGATTTGGAAGCTGGGTACAGGAATTATTCATGTAAGAACCTGCAATGGAGGAGCTCATCCTAAGCCTGGGCCAGGAAAACTAATAGATGTGGACTTGCCATTGTTGTGATTATCTATTAAAAAAGGTTGGAAACCCTGGAACATCCTCCACCTTGCCTAGAGTTCAACGGCTGCCGGGGAGAGAGATTTAGGATTTGCCATGCCAGGATTTGGTAGTTTCCCTGAATAGGGGGCCCCAAGATAGACCCCAAAATACTATGTACATTATTATAGGGAACCACAAAATGGTACCCTAATTGTGGGAAACCCGTACTTGGGCTTCAGGGTTGGATCCAGCTCAGATTCTTGTAATTTGCGAGTCTCAGAGCTATTTGCTTCTGTACTTCACCAGGGCACCATAAACCCTAAAACCCTAAACCCTAAACCCCAAACACCAACTCCCTTGAGCACTGGACAAGCAAGGTGGTTGCCCCGGCCATGCCGTCTTCGAGGATGTGAGGATATCAGAACTTCGTCGCGTTTTGTTGTTCTCCAGCTCCCCTCCACCCACAGATGGTAGTTTCCCAAAATAAGGGGACCCCAATGTAGACCCTCTTATACTATAGTCCTTATTATGGGGACCCCCAAAAAGGTACCACTCATTTTGGGAAACCCCTATTTTTCCCAGACTCAAATGCAACGCTTAGCATACAAAGCTTGTGCAGGACCGGCCGTCCCGCTGGCGACAAGAAGGTTGCGCTTAGGCAGCTCCAAACCTGCGGGGCTTGCGGTGCAGCTTGCGGTGCAGCTTGCGGTGCCGCTTGCGGTGCTGCTTGCAGTGCTGCTTGTGGTGCTGCCTGTGGGACCACTTGCGGCTCATGCGGCACTTTCCTGGGCACGTGCCCCGCTGGAGGGGCATGCGGGGCGTGCGGAGCATGTGGTGCAGCATGCGGAACGGCATGCGGGGCAGCCTGCGGCACGGCATGCGGAGCTGCCTGCGGAGCTGCATGCGGAGCTTCCTGTGGAACAGCTTGTGGTGCAGCCTGCGGCGCCGGCTGCGGAGCCGCATGCGGCACAGCCTGCGGAGCAGGCCGCAGGCTCGCCTGCGGCGCCTGCGGTGCATGTGGTGCTTGTGGCGCATGCGGCGCCTGCGGCGCCTGTGGCGCCTGTGGAGCAGCCTGTGGTGCGTGCGGTGCATATAAGTGCCTGGGGCAGATGTTCTGCGGACGCGGCCTCACACAGATGCACAACGGCGTTGCCCTTAGCCTGTCGCAGTGCAACCTGAACGGGTACCAGATCACGATCGACCAGAAGCAGGACACTTCTAGAGCTTTCTTGTTGTGTGTGCCTGTAGCCTTCTCCAAGTTGATGTGGAGGTTACAGAAGTTGGACGTTCAGATACCAGAGGGCATTCAATACGATTGCACCCTTTTAAGATGGGGGCCTGCTACTACACCGTCAAACTTATGATGTCCGTGCGACACAGTTTTTTGGTGCCTTTAGCAGTCCCACGGGTGAGATGCGGGATGCATGGGAACATATATATGTATATATTGAATCAGGAATTGTCCAAGAATGGAGAATTGAGCGGAAAAAAAGGCATGGACAGTCGAGAGTTAAACAGAATCAGAAAGTGTTAGTTGGGGTTTGGGTGGAATTCACGCTGGATTGTATTTGTCATAGCAGGCCTGAATTCAATTGTTCCCAGGGAAAGAAAGTGCTCGTGCAAGAAGTAAGTTGGTGTGTCAAATTGAAGTGCTAATTTGGCTCAGTTGTCCCACATTGAAACCGGTGTAAGGCTGTAGGTTGTAAGGGTTTTGGGATTAGCGTTCCCCCCCCTCTCTCACGGGCTACGGGAGGACCCCAAGCCCTAGAGTGTAAACCGCAGAGCACGCGGTAGTGGTTTTCTCCTGGCATTGAATGGTCCTCATAGTTCCCTTCCCCTAATAATTATTTAATGCCTCCACCACCCGGCAATACTAGACCAAGAGATTGTGCTGTACCACAATGGGAATGGGGGAGGGTAATTTTAGGGGCAGGGAAACGGATTCTCACCATCAACAGTACGTATATTCTGAAGGTCCAAACCTCCAACTCTAAGCCCTTTCGAAGTGATTCCGTTTAGAAGAAAGGGGATCAAATACCGAATGCTCCCCAATACTATACTGCGCACTGTCCCATGCATTTCAGCCGAAGCTTTGGAGATCCCCAAATCCCCAAAGCTTTATATAGGCCCTAAACCCTAAACCCTATAAACCCCCAAACTTACCGGCTTTCGGGATCCCCATGAAGGTAGGGTACCCAAGCAGGGACCACGATTATCCCAACTCTCCATAGGACCTCACGGACGTTAGCTATGTCTTCGAGAACGGCCGCATGAAGGCGTCCGCTAAGCGAGCTTTCAACACTGGCGATGCCACAGACCTGGTTCTTTGGCTCATGGTTAGGGACCCGTTTCCCATAGGGTTTAGGGTTTAGGGTTTGACCAAATATATCCTTTGCGAGGGTACAAGAAGGCTCCTGGAAAGTTGCTCATTTGAGGGTCGTTGCGGGGTCCGTAAACCCTAACCCAGACCCCTGATTAATAAACCCCCTCCCCTTGATAGGGATTGTAATAGGGAGCCTAATGTTTAGGCCCTTAAAAGGAGAGGGTTTATAAATCATGGGTCTACATTAAACCTCCCTATGAATGTCCTCACCTTTTTGGGGTTCTGCCCTCCAAGGGTTTTCCAAAAGATTTGCCAAACAAGATTGGAACCCGTTGGACTTGGCAAGGTTCACTTGCAACTTGAATGGGTGTAGAGTTTTAGGGGTTAAGGGTGTATAGGGTTTAGGACTTAAGGTTCAGTTTCCGGTGGACCGCTACTACTGGGGATGGAAAGAGGATGGGTGATGTGGTTCATTAGTACATTAGTCTTGCTTAAAAGATAGGAGTCGTGGCATGGCTCCTTTTGTGGCTATATTTTGCTCTTGTCCCTCATTCTTGCATCCGTGGTAGGCCCTCACCCCCCTGTAGACCCTGCACAGGTTTAGGGTTTAGGGTCTAGGGGTAGACCCTTGCAACCCAAAACCCTCAAAACCGTCAGACCCTGGGCCCCAAAACCCGAAAACCTAAACCCCGAGAAGCCTGAGGTTCTGGCCACGGGTACTCCCTACTACGTCATCCTGGCCATTGGCGGCAATAGCATCCCGCCTGCGCACTTGGGGGATTAAGGGTTTAGGGTTTAGGGTAGAAGGTGCAGCCCTAAACCCTAAACCTTGAAGCCTAAGCCCCAAGCCCTAGTTCTTGCAGTAGTTCTTGCAGGTTACGTTGAACTTTCCCATGTTGGCGTTTGGATGGTTTCTGACAGAAGGAGGACGCACACAGAATGGACGCCGGATATGTGTGGAGATTGCAAGAGGATGATGGAATGGGTACTGCCCCCCACTCAATAACAGCTAGATTGCCATACTGAACTTCATAATTATTGCTATTGTAGACTGCTACTGGGTGGGGGCAGTACCCTAATTACAGAGGATTCCCTGAAGAGATATGGAGTTTGGGGGACTACTCTTACTTCTGTACAGAAAGATTGGGCCGTTGTTGATGAGTAAGAGCTACACTTGTAATCCCATTCACCTACAGTTTAGGAGCAATCCCCCCTAACTAGTAGGTATGACCCTAAACCCTAAACTCCATGGCACTGTAGGTAACTTGGGCTCACGGTTTCCCGCAAAATCTCTGAGGCAGTCAAGCCTTCGGGGTTTAACTATTGGCTTCCCTTTCAGTCCTCATATACGCTATAGTTTAAAGTCCTTAGACAGGGTTATATAGTGGATCATATGGGTGGTTGTCAAAATTATGGTCCTTTGTGGATCCTTGTTAAAATACAGCACCTAATATATATATATATAATAGGGATCCAAAAAGGGACCATAATTTTGACAACCACCCGTATAGGGGAGCTTTATAGGGCTTATGAAGGAGGATTCTAGATTATAGCTCATATGAGGATTCTCGCAATATGCCTTGGCGCAGGGCAGCTCGAATCTCCTTTCAAGTCCATATACCCTCAACCCTAAACCCTAAACCCTAAACCCTAAAACCTTAAATCCTAAACCCTATACCCTATACCCTCAAACCCTCAAACCTCCCTTGTACCTGGAAGCCCAGAGCTCGTAGAGCTTGCGCCCAGCTATTTTCAGGTTCAAGCCGCAAAGCTTGGGGTTTAGGGTTTTGGGCTTAGGGCTTCAGGTTTAGGGTTTAGGATTTAGGGCTTACAGGGCTTAGGGCTGCAGGTTTAGGGTTTAGGGTGTAGGGCTTCAGCGTTCAAGATCCAATACCAAGATCCACAACACAGGGGTACTCGAAGCCGAAGATCGTAGCAACTGAAGATTGGGTCTGAGAGATTCAGGAACCATGATCGAATAGTAGTTTCCAGCTTATTTTCCATAACCCCAATATAACCCCAATATAACCAAATTTCAGAAAACATGTGTCGGGAAGATGATGGGCCCGGGTCGGGAAGGTCAGCGGCAGTGACGCATCAGGTCTGCTTGAAGGCTCATGGAGACTTAGTATGGGGTTATGTCGGGATAATGGAAAAGGAAATGGAAACTGCTATAGTGTATTGGGGTTATTTTGGGATAATGGACAAGAAAATGGAAACTACTATAATATATTGGGGTTATATTGGGATAATCGAAAAATGGAAAATACTATAGTATGTTGTGGTTATATCGGGATAGTGGAACAGAACATGGAAACTACTATCCAATATTTGGGTTATATTGGGATAATGCAAAATAAAATGGAAACTGCCTGCCCAAGGCTGATGGAGGTTTAGGGGTTTAGGGCTTGAGTTCAGTAACCGCTGCTGGGCTTACAGCCACTTCATCTGATCGCGCGTGATCCCCCTAATTAAATGGCCCTATATGGTTTACCAAATTTATACACATGGCCACACACCCAGCTATACGCAGTTCGTAGTCACTAGTCCCATAAATTTTCAATCAATAACCCCCCCCGTTTCCCTTAATGGGATTATAATCGGGATCGTACTATCGCGGCCCTCAAAAGGAGGGAGTTTATTAATCACGGGTTTACGCTACCTCTCCTCAGCACCCTGAGCCCCATCGTGCAGACCATCTTGCTGTGGCATCATTTCATGTTCCAGGTATGAGGGCTCCACTACCCTAAACCCTAAACCCTAATCCTCAGCCCT